ACAGAGTTAAATAGGGGTTATTAATTGATTTTAATTATGTGAACTGCTGTGTTTCTTGAAATAATGCCTTTCCTCTAATGACCATGTACTGTATATTTGCTAACTATACAATTAATTTATGTGTGGAAAGTTTGAGAACACATGTAAATGCATTTAGACACTACCACCACCGTTGCAAATTAAATGCATCATTACTTAGGTGCTATCTTTATATTTTTTCTTTCCCACTCTTTATTATGGTACATCTAAACTGCATTACTTCCTGCTGAATTGTAGCACTTAAGTCTTACTAACCACATGCTATAATTTAAGGATTGAAACATTTCTTTGAATGAGAGACTTTACTTGTGTAGCACCACCACTTAGCTGTATTCTATTAATGGATCTATCTGTAATTTATTAACAGAAGCAATAACACCAATTAGAGGTTACTTGAAAATTACTTAAAATAAAAGACCTTTCATGTGTGCTTTTGTTCGCTTTTTTTCACAGACTTTCTTACAGACTAAAAATTTGTTTTAGACTTGGTGTGAAAAGGCCTTGATTTATACTAGGCCTGAAGGTTACATTCAGGCCAAAGAAACAAATCTAAACCTACTACTGAATCGTACTCAAGGCAGAATTGCCAACATCATTTTTATTTATTAGTTTTAAAAAGAAGACACAAATTCATACCTTTAAGTTAAAAAAAATTGGCCTGAAGTGACGTGAGTTAATCTGGTCAAGTTGGGTCCAGAAGTTTTGAAAATAAATAATCAAAGTCTAATGTCATTCATTCTCTTAAGTCACACCAAAATATGATTGCTAATCATTTAATTGAGACTGTCGATTTAATATCATGCTGTGTGCACTCGGCCCTCATCGTTACTCTGTATGCAGGCCTTGCAGTGCAAAATGCCACCGTAATGGAAGCAGAGTGTTGGGTTAATTGATAAATCTGAGGTCCTGAGTAGGAAGGAGTGTGGCAGAGGGAATGTTTTATGGCTGTGCAAATGAAGGGGCTGCAGAGTTTTACACACGCCGTAAAATGGTTATGGAGAATTAGCGTTCTTTCTTTCTCACCGCAGTAACCTGGACACTAATGCAGCAGAGCTAGAGAGATGGATGGACATATAGCATTGGAAATACATACACAGACAGACACACATAAAAGGTGGACATATATGAGTTCACGCATTTGCTGCCCCTGCCCCACCTAATTCCATTGTCTCAGCTTGTGGCCTATTTCAGTTTAGGTATTAATTGCTAATGAATACTGTTTCCATTAAAAAATATCCTTCAGACATCAGTTGTGTGCATCATGGTGATACATTATGGCTGAGCTAGAGTATATGTGCATGAATGTGTGTAGACACACTTTTCCTGCCGCCATTGCCTGAAGCTTTTCGCCCAGAATACAATAATGACAATAATAAAGCTATACCACAGTAGCTGGGAGGAGACTATGGTGTGTGTCTCTGTGGGGGCAAGAAGGGGTGTGTGTTTGAGCATGTGTTGTGGCGAGAGGCGGTAACGAGGACGACACTGGGGCAAAAATAAAGTGTACATGTGGTTGGGCTATCGGCAATGGTGTATATGCATATATTCATGTGTATACATGTGATTGTATATGTCTCTGTGCATGTGATCAGGAAAGCAGGGGTGCCTGTGCAAATGTGTCTCCTGTTGTGTATCAGTGTGTGTTGGTTCTGATCTTTTGAAAGTTGTGACGGGCGTCAGTCTAATGCGAGGGGAAGGAAGGGCTTGGAGCGTAGACAGACACAGACGTGACCACTCACTGTAGTGTACTTGATTAGCACGTAGCCTCCTAATTAGCTATCCTCGATGGTTACAGGCAGTACCGCTGGTGACATGGCTAATAACACAACCACAAAATTAGCATGGACAGAGAGGGCTTTCCCATATTTGCATTTGAAATGAGTTATTGCTGGTGCATTTAGCTGGTGCAGAAGCTAAAAAACCTTTGACTATTTTATAATCTTACAATCTTAACAATGAACATTCTAGTGCTAGTTGTATTAAAAAAATAAAGTTTAGGAGGTCTAGGCACTGTAAACTCACAACACATAGCCTTTTGTGAGAGATCCGGGATGTGAATTGAAGGATGGAGCTGCAGAAGAAGATCTGAGGCCTATGAAGCTAATCTGTAGTGGGTAACCTGGGAAGTCAAGGCAAGGGCACATAGGAGGTGGATAAAGGGCAACCATTACACAGCTCCCTTTGGCCTAAGCTGGGGCCTGGAGGGGAGTTCCTGGAGAGGTAGGCACCAGCATCTATGTGATTATGTGTGGATTTGTGTGTGTCCTGACAGGCAGTGCTACATCTGCATTGATAGATTTTCTTACTGTGACACAGATGGCAACGGTAAATAAAGGTCCAGGAGTCAGAGGCTATTTCTAGGGCTTGGTTTGGACTGGGGATGCTGTGTGCTGTACTGCCAAGAGCTGTGATGGTCAAGCCAGAGAGCTGTGGTCTGGAACTAGAAAAAATTGGGCTATGTTAATGATGAGGCTTCAGGCTGTGTAGGGGGATAAAGCAAGGCTGAGGGTGGTGATTACAAGCAGGGCTAGGTAGTGTGGCAGAGGCTGGGTGAGAGGGCTGTGGCTGGGGTTTGAAAATAATTAGGAGCATGGCTGGATAACATAGCAAGATAATGTGGCTGGGGGGAGGCTGGCTGGGCACGGTATGAAGATGATGAGTACCAGGGTTGAGCTGTCCACTCCATTGGCCCTTTGAGCTGTGACAAGAAGCTCTGCTGGCTGCTGCTGTAGCTGGGGGTGATGCCAACGATAGGACTAATGCACTAATTACCACAGAGCGAGAGAAGAGAGAGAGTAAACAGAGGTAGAGAGAGATACAAAAAGATGGAGCTTCAGACGGAGAGACGAAAGGGGGGAAATCTGAGGTTATGAGTTCTGAGTGACAGCACGACTGGGCTCAGAGCAAGCACTGCCGTCTTCATCGTCTTCTTTAACAACATCCTATGCAGCAGCAGCAGGAACAGTGTTATCACAGAGAAAAGGGAGGCCAAGTTTAGCCAGCGTGTATGGCTGGATGGTATGTATGTTTGTGTGTGTGGGTGTCTCCAATAACTTAGTTACTAAACTACTACTACTAAATCTACCATAATTTACTGATACTGTGTTGTGCTTTTTGACCACTAGCGTTGATGTAGAGGAGGGTTTCGAGCAATACTGTTTATATCTCAGACACTACCAAACAACCACATGCACACCAGCAGCGTGGAGGGATGACATGACATAGAACGGTATATAAAAATATCAGCTGGTACAGAAATGTATAACATCTCATATCATCATAATCTCTAGCCACAAACCACACAGCTTTTTTGTTTGTTATTGCAAATAGGGTTCCGTGATGGCGGATGCCTTTACTTGCGGCCTGCACTGCTTTTTGGCTTTAGCAGATGTCTATGTGTAGGATTCCTAATTTGAATGGTGAGCTAAATGAACCCTTATGACTTTAGCTTTGCCAGTGAAACCCCTAATTTACCACACATGCTCAAACACAAAGACCCTATAAGCTTTCCATCAATACAGTATTTTACAAATACGGCATAGATGCACGGAGCAAAACTGATCTTACTCCCCTGGCCCCTGTTGTCAGCTGCAGGAGACCCCATTCACCCGCCCACTCACTCCCCATACTTATTTATCTCCACTTCCTGGGGCCGTGTTAGTTCATTCCCCTGTCGCTGCTCTCTCCTTCTTCCCTTGCTCCTCTCTCTCTCTCTTGTTTCACTCCTCGTTTCCAGGCAATTGGGTCTGGGTGCTGGTGGTGGGGGGTAAGAGGTTGGGGTGGAGCTGCTGGGAACTTTGTGTGTGTGTGCGTGTGTGTGTGCTGGGAAGTGAGCTAATAAAGGACGGTGATCCATGAAAGGCCTTGAGCAAAGACACAGTCAATTACCTAATGCCTGGACCAGACCGCAGGGCCCACTCACACACATTCTGTCTCTAACAGACTCACACACACACACACCCATGCATGCACCTCATTTACGTATACATGGAGAGGGGGCAGTGGAGGGCATAACTGGGAATTGTGTGCATGTGTGTGGGTGGGTGTGCATATGTGTGTGATGGAGAGCGGCGATTTATTAAATTGCTGTCACTTTTGACAAATTTGTGCAACGCAAGTTGAAAGTGTTAGGCTGCACTCCTTCTCTGTTTTTCCTCTTTTCTTTTAGAGGAGAACAATACATTTCAGACTGAAACCCAGGCAACCCCATCTGCCATCAGTTTGCATGAGTTGATGAGTGTCATCTGACCTGGCTTTATGTCCAACCTTCAGACTTGGGTTTAAAGCGAGTGACATTGATTGACTTTGATGGGAAAGCATGAACACAGGTTTCTGTAATAACTGTTCAAATGAACATAATAATAAAATAATGAAACATTATTATAGTATTACTATGAACCTGAATAGCAGAACCTACAGGTTATTAGCCTTTCAACCATACATTTTGCTCTTCTAAATCTTTTGACTCTTTATTATACAGTTTAGGTTGCTGAAATAATATAAGATGACCCATAAAGAAAAACACAATCACCCACAATTTCACACACAGTCATGTGGAATCTCGAGCAAAAATATAACATAAACTCTTAAAATTAATTGAAACACAATAACTCAGGTGAAGCAGAAAGTGTATACATGGTCTGAAACGTAAGTGACAGCAGTCTGAAATAAACGGCCCATAAGCAGGTTTACCACATCTTCATTATCCTATGTAACACACAGCTTGTACGTGAAAGTCATTTAAGTGTGCGTTTTCCACCTTGATGGATTTCTGTGTGTGTGGGGAGCAGCCAGAAAAGGGAGCATTCATCAGCTATGCATCTCTGCGCAGCACAATGGCTAGGTGGGTGTGTAGTTTCAAACGATGACTTAATTTAGGTACACAGTAGGCATACCTGATAACTAAATGTATAATAATGATAATGCTAACAATAATAATAATGTTGTAGTTTTCAACCTACCTCCTCTTTGAGTCAGTGTGTTATCTACTATCTGAAGCTCTTTGCGTAGGCTGGCTGTGCGAAGGAATTGCTGCTGTGGCTGAGATGGTGGAGCATTCGTCCTGTTCCTCGGCCTCTGGTTGGCAAACGGCAAGAAACAACAACAAAAAATTATACAGTATGTCATAACGGTTACAGTTGAGCTCAGGTTAGTCTTTAATGAAATATCAAACAGTGACTAGGTTGAGCATGAATCCATAAGGCAGAAAATGTAGCAAACACAAAAACAACCCCAAACACACTCCCAGGGGAAAACTCATAACACAGATATGAAAGTTCCTTTCAAAATGTCTATTAAGTCATTTGATTGCAGTGAGACCAAAGAGCGAAGAAGGTTAGTGTGGCAAGAAAACTAGGTGGTCTTATACTGTAGTCAGGGAAATTATTGCGCGAGACAGATTAAACAGAGGGTTAATAACAGTACTTAGACACACTCACACAACTGAGTAGATTAGCCTGTGAGTGGTAATGAGGTTATAGTCAAGTGTTTTAGCAAAGACACGTACACAGACACATGCACGATTCCTAATTAAAACTAATACAAGCCTTTAAATAAAGCAGGGAGAGAATGTTTATAATAAACCCGGTCTGAAGCAGTCTTAAAACAATCTGCTGGCATACACCAATTCGTTTTCATAATAAGGATATGTCCATTTACTACAGTTGCTTGAGACTCTGTTGAGTGCATACAATGTACATGTGTTCACAAGCATGTATTCTTTGGTGTGTATGAAAGGAAAACAATGACATAATTAAGCAAAACATTTTACGAAACACTTTGTTTTTCTGTGATTATATATGAAAATGCTTTTGTATTTTGTATTTTGTGTGTGTGTATCTTTCTCACAGTGTGTCGCTGTGGAGTCTTATGGACCCGTGTTGTTGAAGCCGATTCTGGGCCTCTTCCAGGTGTGTGTAAGAGGTTTGGAGATGCAACGTCAGGTCAGGACAATGCATGCGCTGCTCCCACACTTCCCCAGGCTCTCTGAACACACCCTGGAACAGCCACAGCCACCAACAGACACAGACACACACAAACGCGCAAGAATCAGATAATGATCACTGTATCTTTTAGTTTCAGACCCCCGCCTCTTGCTTTCTCTGATCCCTCTCCCACAGGTAGTGATGGCTTACTGCTAAAACCAGAGGCCAATCCTCTTCATCTCTCCTCCTGTGACACAGAAACCATGAGAGAAGCCGAGAGAGACAGAGAGAGAGAGAGACAGAAAAAGAGAGTGAAGAAAATTGCATCAGGAGAGAGAAAGAGGAGGGAGGAGTAAAACCAAGCATGCCAGAGTAAAAGTGAGGGACACAGAGAGGACAGAGAAAGAGTGAATAAGATGGAAAAAAGAGAAGAAAAACATGCACACTCAGCTGCATGTCTAACGTATTGTCTGATTAACCTCAGAGACTCTTGTGGTTTAATCAGACTCTATCTTCCCCTACTCCCCATCATATCCTGTATTTTTCCACATTTAATGCTTTCTTTCCATTTATTATTCTCTTTGTTTCAGGTGCCCAACAAGCACCTCGATAAAAGAAAACAAAAGAAAATTTCATGACATCTAACTTTTTTTTTTTAAAGACAACACGTGACAACAATGAAGGAATATGTCACCCACAACAGCATATCTTTTTTTTTATGTGTTTTTAACAGTTTTTGAAAAGGTGACACAGACAATCCCTCTAATAGGTTCAATTCATTGTTGTTTTTTAGGGAATGTGTTTATAAAAAAGGAAAAGATAAAGGAACGCTATAATTATCAGTATCAATTTAATTCCTTCTGAAAATGCAGTTGCATAAAATCATGTTTTCTCTCAAACTTTACTCATCCAAATACTTTTCTGGGACCACATTTCACAAACAAGTCAGTTAAACTCTAAATAGCTGTCTGTCAATTTATTCCTTGTACATCTTCTTGACATTGTGGCTCCTACCCTGGAGAGATGGATTTCTGAAGTCTCATGACATATCAGAGTTGAAAAGACAAAGAAAGTCGCTTTTAGCAACAAGTTTTTGTGCCGTTCTCTGTCTAACCTCCCATACCCCCTTACATGAGACTTCATATGCCTGTCACACTCTGGTACTAAAAGAACTGAACGCATTCGAAGATATTCAATAGAGTGGTTACTGTAATAAGTAAATGCAAAAGTGATCTCACTGAAAATCAAATCTAAACTGTATTTATTTTACACTTTATAAAAGTCAAGGAAAGCTGAGGATGTTGCATTTTCTAGCATTACACATCTCCAATTTTCAAATCTCAACACACAATGGTGTTCACTCATTCTTTTGATTATCTAGAGGCAAAATTAGCTTAATGGTTGATTAACATGTCATGTTACTTTACACATTATGCAAAATATATGGAAAACATTCTGTCAGTTACAAATAGTAAACAAATATTCAAACTGTTATGTGTCTTGTGAATAAAGTGCAACCTCTAAACACGCACTGTGTTATATGCTCTTTTCTGAGAGTAGCATGTAAACTTTGTGCAGTGCAGATTAACTTAAATGCTGTTGCTTTGTTTGAGGTGACCTTCAGTTGTTGTTTGGTGTTAAAAAAAGGAGGGAGGATGAGAGGGGAGAGATAGAGGGAGGGACGGGGACCCTGTCCTTGCTCCTATCGCCACGGGATCGGTGGCCTGGCCTGACCACTTCCACAGCCAGCACCTCAACCTTATCCATCACCACTAGATAGTTATCACACCAGGGAGGGAGGGGGTGTGGGGTGAGTGCAAAAGAAAGGGGGACTTCCTGCACTAATCACACGCACACACACACAAAAAAAACAGAGAAACACAGGGAGGCAGAGACATAGAAAGACAGACATGTATAAATATAGATAAATAATGTATTCTTCTCCGTGTCAGAACCAAGAGACTTTCCTGACACCATTAATGAACTCACCCTAACTACAGCCAGCTGGAGACAAGTCTGTGTGTGTGTCAAGTACAGCTAATAAAAAGAGACAGATCCACGGCTCATTTCTGCTCACTTATGTTTTACATTACTAGAAACTAATAATAGGGAAAGCACTTTGCCATAAAGAGCTACAGAGCGTAAATAACACAAATGATGAAATGGCTCCTCATTAAATCCTCAACGTACACACACATACGTATGCATGCACACAATCACATAGGTACATAGACACATGCACAAAACACAGTAACAAATGCATAAGTGGATGCTATGCTCCATTCATATATATTTTCGATATCAACACTCAATTATATATAAACATCTAAATTTGTCCCAGTAAGCCATGACTGTCTGACAGTGAGCCAGCATGTACAATACCTGGAACCTGAAAGTGAAGCAACTAAATGGAATACAGTCATCATCAATTATATTATTTACACCTGTGCTTTTCCACTGTGAAATGTCAAAATGTCTCAGACATTTGGTTCTTTGAGGGACGTTCAACTCACTGCTTTGATTTCAACAACAACTCATTGGTTTAAAAACAAACAAAAAAATACCGCCACCTCTGGCCGTATTCACCACTGACGTTACTGAGGTCAGGACCTATGTATTTTTTCCGGGGATTATACAATAAAATATGTAAAATAATTGCCTAAAATAACTTTACTTTAATGCTATGATGCATGCCCTCAAATCCCCCAGAGCAAGTTCAGTTTTTGGACCTCTGTGTTTCAAAAACCCTGTTTATGTACACCTGCATAACTGCGTCTCTGTTTAAACTCAGATAGCTTAACGCTAAAAAAAAAAACTAGAAGAGAGAAATGTTCTTCTTAAAATGGTATAAAAACAGAAAAATACTCAGATTTAGGGTTATGTTGTGTTAAGGGTTATGGTTGTGCTGAATTCAGGCACTGCTTACATCTCTCTGATAGATATCAGACATTGGATATTGTCTTCCAATACATTGAAAAATAAATTAAACAATACAATAAACCTTTAGAACCAGAAATTCATATTAAATACTAAAATGAGTTACATTAGTTCAAAATATGTGAATTCCACATTAATGTAGATCCACAAATCTTAACAGCCCACATTATACTGGGTGGATAAGCCACAGTGAATTGATGAGGAACACAAATGAGAGATGCACATGGAATCCAGTTTTTATATACTCTACTGTGGTACAGAAACATTTCACAGTAACACGTAGCCAAACAGTCACACATGTAGTAGTCACATACATAGTACTCACTGAAATACAGACACTAAACGGCTCTGGGCAGTAGCCCCCAAGAGAGCTGTCTGCCATGTTTTAATGATGTCATTCTTCTTTAAAATGAGTTTTAAAGGATCTCTGCTTTCATCAAGAACCATCTCCAATGGGACAAGAAGGGGATGTTGGGGGGCTCTAATAATTAGTACGACACAAACTAATACTCTCTTTCACTTTTTGTACATGCTCTATTGCTTTCTTTTTTTCTCATTCTTCCCCTTCATAGTCTTTGTCTCTTTACATAGTCTTTTTTATACTCTTTTATGCACTCTGTTTTTTCTGTCTCCACCTGTTTATGTCTGTCCCAGCTTTTACCATCTTACCTGCTGTTTTTTGCTGCCAATGGGGGGCAGTATGGGCCTGGAGGAGCAGCAGGTTTGAGTGGTTTTGATCCATGGGGATCCATGACTCCCAGAGAAACCGGGGGCTGCTGGGCCAGGCATACTCAAGAGACAAGCCCTGCCTCCGGGAGCCAGCCTGGTGGGGGCCTGGTACTTGACCTGCCTCAGCAGTTGTTCCATCTCATGGGGGGCTGACCTGAATGGAGAGTTGAACACCCCTGGGCTCTGAAGAAAGAGAGAGAGAGAGAGAGAGAGAGAGAGAGAGAGGTGTTAACCCTATATTATAGAATTATAGAGAAAGTGAGAGATTGAGAGAGGCAATGTCAGTATGACCAATAACATGATTAGATGCATATGTGTATTTCTGACTGGCTTGAAAATATCAGGCAAAAGATAGAGAGGGTTGAGAGGATGACATACAAAAAGGGTCCTCACCCAGATTTAAAACAAGGACGTTGCAGTTGGATTGTTATTAGTTATTATTTCATGGATTCTGAGAGGACTAGAATGTCCTCCTGGGTGTTTTACTCCCGAAACACATTCATGTATTAAAACCCATTTGGAGTTTGGGAAACCAAAAAGTGGTTTGTTTTCAGTCAAAAAGGGCACCTCCTGGGACAGCTTAAAATGAACTGTTATCATTTAAACTATTAAAGGCAATATTCTGAGGTAATTTGAAACATCAGTTTTGTTAACAACTTTTTTAAACAGTTTTTCAAAGTTTTGCCGTTTATTTCATATTAACCTTATTAACCTAAACATTCTGTGCCCCTGCTGACAACAGTTGTTGATCTTCACTGCCTCAAACACATACACCATGGCTCCTTGCCAACCAAAGGCTTTGCCAGGTCAAGAATTTGGCTGGGACAGTTCAGTTTGTGCATTTTACACAGATAGATAGAACAAAAAATGACTACAGGGACAACCAATCTGTCTCACATGGCATTACACAGAATTGAATCTTATTCTCCACTAGAACAACACACACTCAAGTACTCACATACAAAACTTTGCCTCCCCTGTTCTGAAGTGGGTTAGAGATTTTCTACAGACGGCCTCAGTAATAATTATTCAAATCACAGTGATCCTTTTGCCTGTGTGTTAATTACCAGACCAAAGCTTTGAGTTGGAGGACTCTGTATCTACTCTATATGCTAATAACACCGCTTGCTATTTAGGCCACTCTAAAAGACTGGGACAACGGAGAAAGAGGAGAGAGAAAGGGCATAAGTGGGGAATTGCTACAACTATTTCAACTCAAACCTCACTCTTTTTAAAATAATATATTAACAGACTGGTTAATTAGTAAGTGTTTCATTATTAGACTATGAGTACCTTTGATGTAAATGTCAAATGCTTCAGAATGAGCAGAGAGATATTAATTCAACTTCACTGACCCTGATTTCTGTAACCACGGGTTGCAGTAACTGGAAAACAGCATATTTTAAACTGATGGGTCCCTATCTTTGTGCATTATTTTTGTGCCAGCACAAAGCTGACAGTGGGGCTAATGCATTATTTTCATTAGGTCAAAATGGGTAGACCACCTCTTGTTGTATGTCTCTAGTTAGCAGGGGCACATGTACATCGAAATACAATTCTAATGTGATTAAGCCAGAATCACAACTGGTTTAGTTTAATGGGTGTTTCTTTCCAATAATGCTTTCCACTGCAACTTGCACAATGTATAAGGTCATTTCCTTACAGGTTATAAAAGAGAAGGACCTTAGCATCATACACCAGCAAGAAGAAAAAGTTATCAGTTTATGTGATCATGCAAGCGGCCAGACCATCATTGTTCAATATTTGCAGTTGCAGCATTATTGTGCACATGTATACCCAAATCTAAAATAAATATTGGCATTACAGACAAAAGGCATTAATAAAAACAACGAAGTACATTCTACAACAGTTAATTGCTTAATTTATTTGCCTTCTTGTCTTCTAAAATAACTTCAAACTAAGTGTTTACTCAAGCATAAATTCAACTCCAAAATTGAACATTGTATGTCCTTGAAAGAATATTTTGGGTGGTGTATATTTGTGCCTCGCCACTCTGTGCCTCAAGAGAACCATTACTGAAGCATGCACCAACTCCACATGCTGATACTGTATTCCTCCTGTGAATTTTATTAATGCACTACAGCAGGACTGCATTTGTTCCTTTGTAATCACACTCTGCTTTAAGAACTTCTAATAAAAGGTCCCGATCCAGCAAAACAGCAAACAAACAAACGTTTATACTAGACCATATGTACTTGACTATAATTAGGTATACCAGAGTGTGTTTACTAAATAAAATGTACCCCCAAAACTGTTTATACAACAGACTACTCAGCAACATCTTAAGACATATCTGGCACTCTAAATACAGTATAAGAAACACTAACACAAAACGCTCATTATCAGGATTTTTTGTGTATTTAATGACATTAGTGTTCTGCATCAGTCTATAAAATGCATTAGGGATGAGTGTACGCACCTAACTCAAACAGGAAGGGACAGAAGACTAGGGACATACACACCACACCAATACATTCACATACATAATCCTCGCCAATCCTAAAGACACGCACACACAAATACACACACGCGCACATGCAAGCCCAAAAGTACCAACCTAGCTACGGGAAGAGCAATGATGTTGACCCCAGAAACACACCATCTCTGTCTCTGTCATAGGGACTTGGGGCCTTTTGGTAAGCTGTGTGTGTGAGTAGGTGTGTGAGTGTGTGTGTATAAGTGTGTGTGAGAGAGAGAAAGAGAGAGAGAGAGAGAGAGAAGAGAGAGAGAGAGTGAGTTGTGTGTGTGTGTGTGTGTGTGTGTGTGTGGTGTGTGGGGCTGGGGTCCCAGAAGTGAGGAAGGATGAACTGTGTGGGGAGAGCATCTAGTCACTGCTGACAAGGTCAGGAGCTACGAAGGAAAGAGGTCCCCTGCCATATGCAGAGAAAGAGAGAGAGAGAGATATATAGAGAGAAAGAGATGGACAGAGGGCGGGGAAGAGCACACAAACTTTTCTTCTGGCTTTCTTTCCTTCTTGCTTATTCCTAAACTATCCAATATAGTTACATATAAAATGATTAAAACAATGAACATATGAGTATACAGCCAATCCAGAGCATTTGGAGAGTCAAACGTGGACACGTCTGACAAAAAGCCAACCCTACTGCCCTCCAGCTTACACCACCATCATAACAAAATGTTTGGAAGTTTGTCTTAGGCGTACGTGGGATTCCTGCAGGAAGTAGGTAGTAAGCCAGATGATGACAATGCTGGCTGCACGGGCATGAAGGAGAGAGAGAGTAAGAGAGAGAGAGGAGTGGTGGTGCTGAATCAACAGTGACCAGTGCGCTTTGTCTTCATTATGATCCCAGTGGGGAGTCGCAGAGATGCATAGATGCCACACACACACCCACATACATGCTCACCTGTGCCAGGGGAAGCACTAAAATACTCCACTCAGCACATCAGAAGAGCCATGAGGACACACACTTACTCATGTGCACGCAACACACACACACAAACACACACACACCACACCGCTCCAAGACAGCCACCGTGTGGTTACGTGAGAATACTCTCTGTAGCTTGTTTTTGGGAGTAACCTCCGCTATCTGTGACTCTTATCTCATTGATGCGTGGGCCCCTGTATCTTTAGCCGTGCATGTGTGTATTAGTGTGTGCGCTTACTTTCTAAGTACAAAGTTACTCATGAGTCGGTGATGTTGCCTCAGTATTCTGTAGGACATATATTTCAGACAGACACAGTGAGACCAAACAACCACCACCTCCCTGTAGGAGTAAAAGGGTTAACAGTGTGTTATCTGATGTGGGATTATGAAGTGAGTATGGGTTTCTAATTAGAGTCCAATAATAATAACTATAGTAACAATTATTGTAATATAATATTATAATAATTATTATTATTACCACTATATTGGAATTGTTACATAATTATCAATTATAATTAATAATATTATAACAAACTATTATAGATCTTGATGGTGAGACTAAGAATTTAAATCATAAATCGTGCTCTTTTCAAACATTTCTGTCTCAGGGATACTGTACATGCATGAGTGTAGGTTGTTGTATTAACTTTTCATATGAAATTTTTCCTGAACAGCAATGGGGTTAACCAAATATTCTGTAATTGCATTATTAATTTGAAGTGACGTTTTTCATAAAATGTAATACTTTGTAAAAACAAATATATAATAAAGTACATAATCAATGTAGACACAGTTCAAGCAGAAGAATTATGTAATTTCCACCAATGAGTTTAAAGGATTAAAGGATCAGCTGACGATGACTCCTTCATATGACAGACCACATTCACCCCATTGATATCACTACTGGTAACTGCTTTTCACTGGCAGTGGTTGCTGCCACACTGCAAGCTTTGACACTCTGTCCTACATGTGATGATGTTGCTGATTTCTGTTACAGCTTGAGGTTTGTTTTATACATGATCAATATGATACTGTTTTCTGATTGAACATAAAAGTAGCTTTGAACAGAGACATCAAGTCAAATGAGTTTAACTGATGTTAAATCTTTGAGACTGCGAGCGTTTGTGTTGCTGTAGACCTACCTGCTTCGTACTGAGAAGGTGGTGTAACCGGTGAGCTTGGTAGACCTTGGCTGTCTGCTCTTTCACCATCTCCAGACAGTCTCTCTCTCTCTTTTGGAGTTCCTCCAGTTCCTCCAGCTCCCTCCTAAAGGGCACACACACTCAAATAGTTTAACTTTAAGATAAATAATTGAGTTTATTCATCTTTTTACACTTTTACGTTTCTTTACACATCTTGGCTGTTATTTCATGGCATCATATGTAGTCAGATCAATCTAAATCATACACTCAGGTATGTTTGCTGAATGACAATGACAGACTGGATACTGATTCTACATTTTTATGTAATTTACCTCTACATCACTTGCTGTAACAATCATATGAGACTAATGTTTTGATGCTACCTTTTCCAGACTAAATGAACCTGTTATATATATTATATATTATAATTACATATAGTTAATTATCTGGAGATTCAGCTGACCTTATAGCTTAACATTATATTTAAAAGTCTTGTGTATGTAATGTAAACTTCATAAAAGTACATTTGTGCAACTGTGTATTTGGAGCACATTTGGTCTTCTCGGTCGTAAAAAAGCCGCCAGTTCCCTGAAGTGTCCTTCAGTTGAATAAAAACCTGCCTAATGATAAGAGAGAGACTGGGACCGACATGGAAAGGCAGAGGAGCTGTGGGAGAAAAAACAAGAGAATGAGACTGCTTGAACTGAAAAAAGAAAAGTGAGAGCGCAAGAGCCTATAAGTGGGAGGATGATGGATATATTTCATCACCGCAGTCAGGACAGGTCTGTCTGTGACATCTGTTAAGCGAAGCTGGCTAAATGGGATGCATTAAAAGCCCATACACAGCAATTTCATTCTGCAATCACACAGCCTTATTGTTACAAGGAGGTAATAACTTAAAAATGGAATTGGAAACAATTACTAAAACACACATGCCATGGTAATGTGAAAATACACACACTATGAGTAAAGCCGCAGCTCATCGACAATCCTTCATTTCTTTCCTCTTTTCCTTTTCCTCTTTATTTCTCTCCTTCTTCTCTACTGCTTTATTTGTGCACAACTTCTGTTTTCAATTACAAGCCTCCACAGACAAATCAGAATATTCATAGTGTGTCTGTAATGTGAGGTTAACACATTCTGCAGCTACTGACATTTAAAAAGAAATCACAACACCGTCCCCGTTGCCTTTGCATTCTCATTCCTTCCTCAGCACCAGATTAAATTACAAAATAAATGAAATATGCAGAGCACTCTGTGTGTATGTGTGTGAGTGTGAGTGTGTGTGTCTGTGTGGTGAGAATGAGAGCAACTTTAAATGTGTCTGTGTGTGTGTTTATGTAATATTAAGCACAGTAATTTAAGACGTATATGGATGTGAGGCTGTATGTCTATATGTGCTTGTGTGTATGTGAATATAGAGGTTGCCTGGCCTCTATTTATCCACCTGGCTAACAGGGATATTACATATTAATGTAAAATATAAAGTTTTGATTTATTGTGGGACCGTCTGGTTCACAAACCATTTGCCACATGTGTGTGTTATGTGTGTATTTCTGTTCATTTGTGTATTAATACCGCCTTAAAAATTGACTGACAATGTTTTCGGGGTCAGGACCTGTTCTCATATGTCTGTGTGTGTCTGAGCTGCGAGTGTTTAAGTGTGACTATATCAGTGTGTGTGTGTGTGTATCAGTAATATGTATGTGTGTATCAATGTTCATACTATGTATTCACACTAGCTTGTGTGTCCATTTGTGTGTATGTGTGGGAAAGTGTGCGTGTGTGTGTATGTCAGGTTGAATGGGTGACCTTTGCTTCCCTGCCCCCAGCCCCAGTGTTATTAATTGCTGTGTAGTGGACAAAAGCCAAACAGATTTGTAACGGCTGAAGGCACCTCGATCTGTGTCGACCCAACCAGCCGCCACAACATACAACCCTCATTAGCCCTGTTCGGCACACTGCACGTGCCCTGTGTGTTTGTGTGTGTGTGTGCGTTTGACTGAGTGGAAGTGAAAGAAAGAAAGCAGGCAAGAAACAGTGTGATAAAACACCAGCTGGTAATCCTGTTATATGTATTGTTGTTATATCTAGTTTATTAACCATAGTAGGAACCATCTTGGTTGATTTACCTTGACTTCTGCGTATGAAACAGGTCTGTCCCCTAATAGCGGACTAAACTGTTAGTTGGTGAGAAGAGTCTTAGTCGACGCACTTTTCATTAGTCGCAGAAAAACATAAACAATGTTAAACTCAGTTTGGGAGCTGTGCCTTGTCACCAGGACCCAAGTATCAGAGAACTGTTGCAACAAAGACCTTTTCTCTTGTAACACAGCACTGCTGCAGTGCTAACTGCACTCTGTTGCCACTAGCTATGCAGTCCTGTTAGCTGACTGTACCCAGACTGCGAGCTCGAGGACATTTGTTTACACCGCTATCACAGGAGCAGAGTCGGAATGAGCACCATAGCCCGAGCAGGCAATGAATCCAGGTTCAGTAGTATCCCATGGACCACAGCCAGGACCGAACACAGCCTCTGACACCATAGTGCCAAGTGATTTTCAACGGCTCCGACCAGGACTAGACACGGCAGGATCGGGATAACGTCATAATCCATCATATCAATTAGTCTGTGAGTATTTGTTTTAGAGAAGTTGGAAGTTATTTGTTCTGTTTTGAACAACGAGACTTTCGTGTTTAAATAAATGAAACTAAACTAAATGTTCAGTCTCTTTACTGGTTGTTCTGACACATTTAGATTCATTACCTTTTTTCTGTCATCATTTAACATTTGTTTATATTATATATATTTAAATAATTAAATGAATGTCAAACGTTCTACGACTAATCAGCTATTGGCTTGAACGACTATTAGTCGACAAGGAAAATCTTTTGTAATATGAAAGAAATCATATAGGGACAAAAGAATTACATTTTGTCCAATAAGACACTTCCTCTTTGGGGCCTTGCAATGCGGTTTGGGTTGGGTTGGTACAGCCGAAAAACCCAACCAGTTGTGGGAAGTGGTTCCCATTTGCTCTTTGCACTGACTTCCCACATAAACAGGGATTGTTCCTTGTTTAACATTTGAGAATTTGTCCTCACTCCTCTTCCTTCTTTTTTTCTCTAGTAGTAGTTGGCACTGCTAAAGCATAGCGAGTTTAAAACTTGATTTAGGCCATTGCTGAATAATACAATGAACAGGTGCTGAAAAGTGTTAAAAGATTTTGGTGATAATTGTAAATGGGCATTGGTGTCCTAAGGGTTAGAGAAGTGAGCTTGTGACTGGAAGGCCACCACTGAGGTGCCCTTGAGCAAGGCCCTTAACCCCAACCGCTGTAGTTGTACTGGGCAGGTATGAATGTGTAACAATGCGACTGTGATCAGAGCGTTCCTGCAAAGAGTCTGTCCGTACCTTTCCAATGGCTACATTGTACCAGGACTTAAAGATACATTTTTGTCACCTGGGGTAAGAAAAAAATATTTTAGAGGTACAGAAAAAGGTACAAAAATGTACCATGTTAAAAGGTACAGTGCTTGTACCCTGGTAGGGTACAGCTGGAGTGACAACGCATTTGTACCCTTTTAGGTCCATTCCTGTACTTCCTTCCACTACAATTTTTTTATTCAAGATTTTACCTGCCATCAATTATATACAGAGAATACAGACTCAAGACAAAATGACATACTCACTGACTATATTGGTGGTAATACAGACAATGATGATTGTTCCTGAGTGAGAGGGCTGGAAAATGTAAATGTGAGTCTATGTATATAATCACTGAAAACTGTTCATTGAAACTATTGTTTAAGCTCATTATTATTTTATTAGTATTACTACAAATTTACTGTAATTTCATTATTATGTCAGTATATTCCATTATACATTCAAATGTTATTTATACAGTTTCATTGTGCCAGAAATGTGTCATTTGATATATAGATTAAAGTAATAGTTATTTTTGCACAATATATTATATAGTATTATTACATATATACCATTATAATGATTACTGGATGCTTACAATGTGCTCAGTATGCCATATACCGCAGTGTGAGCACTGACTACAGATTACTTTTGATGGCTGCTGAACTGTTGGACAAGTTAATCAAGCACACTTGAACTACTTTCAAATACTCAAAATTCTAACTGACATTTTCACCCGGACTGTTAACTTATTTAAATGGCTAATATAGTACAGCTAAATTTCTCACTTCTTCCTCAATTATTTACTCCTTGGTTCACAACGGGGCGTCATGGGCTGATGGGATATCAGAGAGTGAGGCATTGTGGGACAGCAGGCCACACCTGCGGTCGTCCAGGCCAGCACCAGAGCAGCTAATTGGCCAGGTTCTAAATATTTAATGGAGGCTTGACCTGATTGGCTGTTTTAATTGCTCCAATTAAATGATTCAATAGCTGGCAAGGAGGGGGTAGTCGTCCAGTCCATTTAGACACTGAAAGGCCCAATGTATTGAGCCTTCAACACCCTTATAACTCAGTGTTTCCATTTAAGTGACTGACTGATTGATTAACTAATTCACGAAAGTAGTAAAACTGATGGCACCAAAAGGTGTGTAAGGAATCAATGATTCTAGCATTAAAATAACCTCCAATCAGATCCCTAATATTCAAAAAAGAGAACTTCATAGATTTTACATAGTATTCTCCATTGTTAAACTCTAAAAAGTTATTTCCTAAGGAGGCAAAGAGAGCACCCAGATTATACTTCAACACACACACACACAGAATATACAAATCCAATCAGGATGAAGGAGTGAACTTCTCTCCACCCAAACTGGATCAGAAAGAAAGAGTAGCAAAAGAAAGACTGACGCATAGAAGCTGAGAGTGATCGCAGGGCAGGCGTGCAGGCAGGCCCGCACTCTCTCCACCATAGCAGCTCTCCTTTCATGAATGTCCTTGAGAGGGACACGAGAGAGGGAGGAATGAAGAAGGCAGGAGTAAAGAGAGACAGGCAAAAAGTAGAGAGAGGAAGAGAGACAGCATAGCACCAGAAGAGAAGAATAAAAATAAAAAACACTAGTGCTGCTCAGCCTAGCAACACCAAGTCCATAAATTCTCCCTCGTTCTCTTTCGGATAAGTTAAAAGATTCTGCCATGTCGTTGCAACATCACAGGGAGAATTATTTATCTGATTATGGCAGTAATAATTACCCAGCTGTTTATTGCAGATAGAGGAATAATTCATGCAGTCAACAGGCCGTGTTGGTGGCGGCAGCGATGACACCAGCACATTTAGTAAATATGCAAAGCGGGCTTGCTCCGCTTTCCTAATTGCCCCCATCGTCCCTCTGCATGCCCTTATTAAAGCCCAGGAACTTTAAGTGTCTCCCTGACAAAGTGATAAATTGTTGGGGTATCAAGGAAAACTGTGGCAGAGTGGGGACTGCGCCGGGGTCTTGACTTCATTAGGCTATGCAGAAGGAGAGAAAGGATGAATGAGGATGGACACTGAAGCACAGTGAACCAGTGGCAGAGAGAGAGGGAGAGAAAAATATAGAGCAAAACAGATTGAGAAAGAGAAGGAAAAAGAGAGAGGAGAGAGACAGAGATTGAGGGAGGGAGGCGGAGTGAGGGCAGGGGATAGAAGAGGGTAGTGTAAGTAGCGTGTATTAGCTGGATGCTGTACCTAATGAAATGACACAGATGGTTTCGTGCGGGGGAGATCTGTCATGAACGAGAAAGAGAGAGAGAAAGAGAGAGAGAGAGAGAGAGAGAAGAGAGAGAAAAGAGAGA